AGACAAACGCAGTTCTGGGGAGCAAAAGTGACCCTCTGTGTGTGTGTGTCCTTGTCCACACAATTGGTTGGTGTGGGAAGTAGGAAATGAGACAGTGGTTGCGGAGGTTAGCTTGGTGCCTGTTTTCTGGTGGTGACAGAGATAATTGGGTGACTCCAGAGAGACTTCGCTTTGGACAGAGGTCCCCTGTGCATACCTGAGTTAAACCAATTGGCCCAAGAAGGTTGATCCACCAGCTGCCTAATCTGCATCCAGAAAGCAAGTTTCCACTGCAGCCTCGCTCTTGTGCTCTCTCTGGAGGGATCCACTGAAGCCTAGCCCTAGGGCGCTGTTGTCAAGCACGCTGGTCCTTTGTGGCTCTGGCTAGATCCTCTCTGCTCCGGTAGCCTTTATGCCCCAGGGGTCCTGCTTCAGATCCAGAGCATTGCTCCAGTTTCAGGAGGCTCGGCATTCGGCAGCACAGTCAGGAAGGAAGGCCCATCTGTCTTCATTGCAGGGTTTCCTCTTACGTGCGTTTGTGTTGCTTTCCAACGTGGAAAAGGAAGGTGTGCTTTGCATGCATGGTTATTTTTCCAAAGGGCAGCCTTGCCCAGACCGGCGTACAACTCTAGGATTCGCAGCCAGCTGCATCAGGGGTTGTTAGGCTGAACAATGTTGCCGTAGGAAATGACTTGCTGATGCTTTTAAAACAAGGATGCAAAATTTATGGGTAGCCACCCTTGGCTGTGTGCCTAACACTCTATCTGTGATGTTACAAATAATAAGGAGGAGAACATTTTAACCACAGGGGGGATGCCCGTGCAGTCAGAAGGAGCTTTGTCCTTTCCGAGTGGTTTTCGAAGAATGTGCGATTTCCAAAGCCAGCAAACGTGTTTAGGTTTAAGCCTGTCAGCAAAAAGCACGAGATGAAAATATCGGAATATTTGCTACTGTCTGCCTTCTATAGGGGCGGTGAGGATCAATGTGAAGTGTTTGGCATTTGGCTGACTATTTCTTTTTGGGAAGGACACGTTTAGAGCATTTCAAGGCTTAAATGGATTAAGGCAGGGGAAGCGCACCTTCTCCTGAAGAGGTTTCCCTCAAATTTGAGCTTGAGCAGGGGGCTGGACTAGAAGACCTCCAAGGTCCTTTCCAGCTTCTTCTCTACTCTACTCTACTCTACTCTACTCTACTCTACTCTACTCTACTCTACTCTACTCTACTCTACTCTACTCTACTCTACTCTACTCTACTCTACTCTACTCTACTCTAGTACACTCATGAGCTTTATCTTCAGGTCAACCCAGTGAAGTGGATTCAAACTGAATCGTGTGATTTCCTTAAATCTGATTTTACAGTGAATCTGAATTTGGAGATTGCGTGGTTGTAGAAATAGTCACAGGCTGCATGGAATCTCCAGAACCTTTTCTGGGGTTCACCTCACCACTCTTGAGATGGAGACAGTGGGATTTTGACTGTTTTTTTGTGGGAGCAATTTGGCCAGACTGATGCAATAGATGAGACCAAAACCCAAGAAAGTCCATTATGGTTTAGCTTTAGCCCAAAGTATCAGCCACGTTGCCAGAATGCAGCTGTCCACAGCATCTGTTTGCATTGTGTAGAGTAGGTAGTGACCCGTGTTGCAGAAATATTAAATAGGAGGACGGTGCCCATTTATTAGGATGGGGTGGTGCCACACGTCCACTATAACAGAGTTTCTCAACCGTGGCATCTTTAAGGCAGGTGGATTTAAACTCAGAATTCCCCAACCATCAAGTCTGATGTCAGAACATTACAAGCCCCATTAGCTTGGCAAGCTGCAGTAGTTCAAACTAGGATACTGGCAGCCAATCCGTGAGTTCTATGATAGACAGGCTACCTTTTTGCAGTCCTTCTTTCCTTCTGGCTCTATATCTTACAGAATTATAGAATGACAGAGCTGGAAGGGATCTTGGGGGTGTTCTAGTCCAACCCCCTGCTCAAGCAGGAGACTCTGTACCAGGGGTGTCAAACTGCCAGTCGCGGGCCGGATGCATCATAGTGAAACCATGCCCACCCCATTGCCAGCAATGGCAAAAAAGTCGCGACACGTCACGTGACATTGCAAGTTTGACACCCTTGCTCTATCCTATTCTGGACAAATGGCTGTCCAATCTCTTCTTGAAAGCCTCCAGTGATGGAGCACCCACAACTCCAGGAAGCAAGCCATTCCACTAATTAATTGTTCTCACTGCCAAGAAATTTCTCCTTCATTCTAGGTTGCTTCTCTCTTTGATAATCTTCCATCCGTTACTCTTTGTCCTGCTCTCAGGTGTTTTGGAGAATAGGTGAAGGGCTCAATGGGCAA